AATTCCTAAAAAAAAAAAAAAAGTATTCTATTTATACTGCTCTCTTTCTCTTAAGGTATGAACCTATACAGTACAGGGCTAGGGACTGAGGCATGCATTTCTATCTTTGTGTCTTTTACATATTTCATTAAAAATGACCATACAGCAACTGAAAGTACTACAGACTGCATTTTAGAGTGAATATGTAGTAGAACCTCTTAATGGAACTACTGTAGCGATGTAACTAAAGAAAATGCAGAAGTAGGGAAAACAAAAATGTAATGCCAAAACTTTAATTTTCTACATTCATGTAAATTCTTTCTGCCCCATGTTAGGTAAGAACTAGGACAGTTGCTGAATGTGTGGCATTCTACTACATGTGGAAGAAATCGGAACGTTACGATTACTTTGCTCAGCAGACAAGGTTTGGAAAGAAGAGGTACAACCATCATCCAGGGGTAACGTAAGTAGAGAGTTCTTAGAATATCTCTTTTTCTTTATGAATCTGGATTGGATTTTTTTTTTGGGGGGGGGAAATGAATCTGGAGTGGGAGAGTGCAGTAGTGGCATTGTTAAGGAAATAAAATCCATCTCCTTGTCTCATGCCACATTTTCATGTCAAACATCCGTTTTTAACCTAACAATGTCTTCCCAGGGACTACATGGATCGCTTGGTTGATGAAGCAGAAGCCCTTGGTGGTGCAGTACATTCTACAGCCTTAACTTCTAACAACAGAACAGAGTCCATTCCTGATCAACAGCTAAGCATTCTGAATTCCATCACTGCCAATGACTTAACAGGTGAATTAGGTTAAAAAATACCAAAGTTGTTAAAATAGCTTTTTGATGTAACTACATCATGGAAACAGATAATGTATTTAAACTTTGTTCCTTTTATTTTTTAGCATTGACTAATAGCGTAGCTACAGTCTGCCACTCTACAGATGTGAACTGCTTGGATGATGCCTTTTCTCCTCTGGACAGCTTACCCCGAGCACCAGTTAATCATGTGCCTGTTGTAACAGAAGAGTTGCTTAACTTGCCCAGTAATGGCGAAAGTGATTGTTTTAATTTATTTGAGACGGGATTTTATCACTCGGAGCTAAACCCAATAAACATGTGCAGTGAGGAGTCAGAGAGACCTGCCAAGAGATTAAAAATGGGGATTGCGGTCCCTGAATCTTTTATGAATGATGTTTCTGTAAATAACCTCGGTGTGGACTTTGAGAACCACACACATCATATTACCAGTGCCAAAATGGCTGTCTCAGTGGCTGACTTTAGCAGTCTATCTGCAAACGAGACAAATGGCTTCATCAGCACCCACACTCTACACCAACATACTGCCCTTCACTCAGAATGATTCCAGCGGTGAACTACAAAAACAGTGGGTACTTTATGCAGTAGCAGTAAACTTGATGGAAACTATCAGGTTTGCTTAGTCTTTCACTGGAAGTTTGAACTTTATGACATCAGTGATGTCTTTGTATGTATAGAACTATATCTTGATTTATCAAGAGTAATTTCATTTTTCAATCCATAAATGTGGAAATGTCATATGATGTTCGGCAGAGTTTGGAACTAAGAGAACTCTGGTGCAGCTTTAAGCTCTGCTTCAATTTTTTTTTTAAAGCCTGTAGACAGAGTCCACCATCTCAAAACCAGCACAGAAGTTCTGAACTGATTGGAGTGGCTTTTTAGTCTGTTACTTTTGCCGTAACAGATGCAGTGGAATAACGATGTTTACAGGTACCAGTCCTGATCCCTGCTCAATGTAGCATTTTTTTTTTTTTTTATTATTTTTAATAAAGGCAGGGATGGGTTTCTTTAATTTAAACTGCACAAACATACAAGGATGTTTTTTAAATGGAACCTTCTCTCATGTGATACTAAACTAGAGCACTTCAGTTTACAAAACAGCAAGTTCATCTTGGTGGAAGCTAGCACAAGGGACTATATGAGCAAAGGATGAAGACACACACTTGGATGCTGTTGCAAAATTATAGGCCATGGCTACCTTACACAGAAGTAATTATACTGCCAGAAGGTGTCTGTGTACTTAAAACTTATTGGCTACAACACATGAATTTTAGGGTATTACATTCTAATGGGGTTTTGTCCACAGCTTTAAAGAATACAGTGTAATAAATAACACCAGTTATTGTGTATCCTAACTTTTTCTGGAGGCAGCTGATGTTGTATAAAACCACAGTCTGCACAGCTTAGGATCTACCACTAAATGGTTTATGTTCTGGGACACATCTTAAATTGTTTGAAGCACTGCAGTTCAAAGTGTTACACTTGAGGGACTATCTAGATTAATATAAAAATACAGTAGAACCTTGAAGTATATATCTGAAAGCTTTTTTTGGCATGGATAACATTAATTTGTTTTGGCTGGTCTTTGTCTCAAAATGGCACTTTGCCACTTTTCTCAAATAGAGTTGAGAAGTACAGTTGCATTCCATACTCTAAAGAACTGTTTCGTTTCATTCAAAAAATTTTGAGCATTTGATGAAACTTTAGCCAGAAACTTTGTGGATGGCCATCAAGGATTGTTGTAATACTTTTTTTTTTTTTTTTTTTTTTTTTTTTTTTTTTTTTTTTTAAGTTATGATGCTATTCAAACAAACTAGTATTGGCATGTAATATACTTCCAGAGTGTGCAACTTGCAGGTTAATTTTTGGTCAGTCTGAGTTGTAGTAAAGTACAACTGAATTGCAGTAGACTTCCCCCCACATGCTTTTCTTTGCACTGTCCGTGACACAGATTTAATTGCCACTAACTTTTTTTTTTTTTTAATGATTTAAGTTTTGACTGCATTGTTGATATTTGTAGTATTTGCTTCAAGGTTATGCTGAATAACTAGGAAAGTAGCGACTTACATAGTATTTGAAAGGGAAGAGGGTATTTATTATGCATACTGTGAACTGCATTGACATCCTGAGTCTTGGATGCAGCGTATTGGGTTTTCTTTACAGCATTTTAATGAAGATTGCTTTAAAGTGTTTACGCAATAGCACATTTCCCATAAAAATTAGTTTAGCACAGTGGACAAAAGTAGTTAGTGATAATTTGTTATCAATTCTTTAACTTATACATCTGAAGTGTATAATTCTAGTAAGTACACAGTAAATAACAGGTAGCCTTGGCCCTGTGTTGTACTCTGACATTTTTAGCCAAGTTGTCAGCTTCTTGTTGCTGTGTTTTGTGCTGAACTTTGTACCTTGTTTCTTTTGTTTATGAATCAACACATTTTATGTAATTTTGTAAAATACTGGCCATAATCTTTCATTGTTATACATTCAAGTTTAACTATGGGTTTACAGTGGCTGGTCTGTATAAAAATCATTACACAAAAGATGACTGAATGCTTATACCAGTTGCACTTAAATGAACATGCCCATTCTCATTAGCTGATGCAGTAATATATTCAGTTTATCTATGCATTGCTGGGATCTTAACATAGACAGAGAGTTGTCTAAAGTTTGGATTGTCAGCAAGTTGAATGGACACTTTAGTTATTTAATAAAGACTTTTGACCAAAATTCAGAAAATGGTATGAGAGAAAAATGAATTCTGGCTAGTCTGATAGATTTTTTTTTTTTTAATGCTGATCTAATTTAGCCTCTTGGCTAGCTAGCTGGTATCGTTTACTTTTAATTCCTTGTTAAAATGAGGCAATAATTTGCAAGATTTTGTAAATATGTAAATTCTGCATATCTTTTTAGATATCTATTTCAATATTTTCTGACTACTTCTGTGTATAGTAACATTTTTGTGCATGCTTGATGTGACATTCATAAAATTTGTACCACTATGACTTTATCCATGTAAAATAGCTATTTATTGAATTTTTCTTTTAAAAGCTGGACTTACTTATTTTTCTCTCAGTTTAAACATTTTAAATGGAGAACTTGTTACTGTTTATTAAAAGAATTGCGTTTTGAGGGTCATGAAGATAACAATTACAAACACATGAAGAAGTTATTGCCTTGATTTTCAGATGGTGAAGCACAATTCTTATAACAAACTGTGATGAATTCTTTGTCCTTTGCCACATTTTTTCTCTTCATACGAACAAACCAAAAATCCATAATGGGCAATTGCAGTGTTGGTAGATATTTTCTTTTTTTTTCATGTACAGGGACTCTGAAGAGGATAGCTGATTCATTTAGAAGTGTAACTGGTGCTGTGATTTATAGCAATACTTTTACTTTTGTTAGTCATATGTCATCTTCTCATGCTAGATTTTTAAATGTTGAGTTTTCCTCTTGTCATGGTCAAACTGCTGAATTTACTTGAAGGATGTACAATACTGTTTGAAGAATACTAAATTGTGTACAATTAGGTCAATGAATTGTGCAATTGTTTCCTGTTTTTAATTTTTAAAACTGAGGGTCAAAAATGTGTGAGAACTTCAGATCCAGTAGAACATAGTAATACTACTTAATTTAACCAAAGTCTCTAGTGAGTATTTCAACTTTTGAATGTAAACTAATGGATAAACTGACCAATGGGGATGCTATTTGCCCAGACCTACAAGCACATTGTCTGCAGACAGGAAACTAAATACCATAATTTATAAATTAATGACAAGATTACTATGTTTTGTTTGTTTTTAATTCCTATTTTTCATTGGAAGGAGGAATATATTGCCAGTTGTTAAAAATGCAGTAGGTATCATTATGGTCCTCCTATCCTAATCAGCCAGTGATTTCCAGTTTGAAATAAGTACCCTGTGCATAATGACATGAATTAGTGACAATCGGCACAAGTTTTAGTATCAGATGTTCAAGAGGAAGTTGCTATTGTTGCATTGGTTTTAATATTTGTACATAAACACTGATTTTTTTGAGCATTATTTTGTATTTGTTGTACTTTAATACCTGGTGTACAGTTCCAGAAATAAATGTCTGGAAACCTTTCTTCTTCTGTAAAATCATTCATGCATCTACAATTGGCATTTGTTACAATTTGTCTGCTTGCCCACACAACAGCCAGTATAGTATTTGGCTCAGTACAGAACGTCTTGCTGTAAAGAGGTAAAGGTTTTGTTAACGTGGGGACTACTTCTACTTAAAAAAAAAAAAAAAAATGGAACAGAACGGGGCAAGGCATCATGCAATTATACGATCATTGGTAACAGTTTATCAGATATTTGTTAGGGCTTTTTTACTAGGCCTACAAGAAACAAAAGATAGACCAGTGTAATGAGAATGTCATTGGTGACATCATTTCTTCAACAGGTTTAGGAAATACAGATTAGACTAAAGTACTGTAACATGGATACACAACTGCTTGGATCATGGTCAACAAGTACTCGCTGATGGTTCAATGTCTAGTCTGGAGGAGGTATCAATTGGGGGTTCCCCATGGGTCTGCCCTGGTTCTAGTATTGTTTAAAATATTCTTTAATGATTTAGACACAGATTTGAGTTCATCTTTAGCCAATTTGTGGATGAGACCAAGCTGTGTGGAGTTGCAGACATTGAAGGGTTGGACCAGGCTTCAGAATGACCTGGACAGATTGGAAAAAGTGGTCACACTTGTCCTTGTTGAATCACATCTGATTGTGAAGTCCTGCACTTGAGATTAAATAATTGCATGCACAAATACAGACTGGGAAATGACTGGGTAGGCTGCAGTACTATGGAGGAGGACCTATGGGTTACAGTGAATACTGGCCAATGGTGCCCTCTTGTTGCAAAAAAGGCTAGCTGTATACTGTGTTGTATCAGCAGGAGTCACTTGCAAATCAAGGGAAATGATTCTTCCATTCTTCAGTGCTTGTGTGGCCTCTCCTAGAATCCTGTGTTCACTTTTCAGTCCCATGCTTCAAGAAGGATGAAGACTTAATGAGGAAAGGCTAAAAAAAAAAAAGTAAGGTAAATCTGGACAAGAAAATTGAGGAGGGGATTTGATAGCAGTCTTCAAATGCCTGAAAGGTGATTTATAGAGAGGATAGAAAGAGACTATTCTCTGTGGCCACAGGGGACAGAACTAGGAACCAGTAGCCTCAAGCTTCAGCAGGGGAAGTGTAGGTTGGAGATTAGGAGAAACTTTTTGACCATGAAGGTGATCAAGCATTGGAACTGGCTACTTAGAGAAGTAGAATATCCAACCTGGAAGTTTTCAAGAGTGGGTTGGACAGACACTTGTCAGGGATGGTTTAGCCAGGGATCCTGCTGCCTTGAGGAGGAGGAGGCTGGTCCAGATGACTTTCCAGCCCTGCTTTCCTATGATCCTACATGCTTTCTCAATCATCTCTTAATGGGATCTTGGAAGAAATTTTATCAATTACAGCATCCTCCCCTTTTCTTTGATGTTAGAATGTAGAAAAACCAAAGTGACCGAATGTAAAAAAATAAAATCACACAAGGCTATTTTTTTTTTCTTGTATTGAAGGAACTAAAGTATTTTTTCCATATCTAGCCTTCGGTACCTAAAAGCAGCTTAAATCCAGACCCTTCAAACCATAACTTTGCTAACTGGCTAAACCTAGTACCCTATCTTCCTGGAGTCTTAGGTGCCTAGTAAAAAGGCCCTGGAGGTCTACATTTCTGCTGCTTTCCACATTCACACCCACCAGAGATGCAAAGAGCAGCTCAGAAGCATAAGCCCCAGAAGCAATTGCAAAGGATGTTATTTCCTTACCTGTCCTGTGGGGTGTAGCCAAGGATTCAGAGAGGGACAGAATCAACCTGCAAAGGTTTGGATTGAAGATGTAGTACGTGTCCTGGGAAAAATGGAAATCTATAATCGTCTAAAATTATGTGCCTATGTCAAATGATGTTGGAAGATGTGGATGGGAGCTGGGTGCTGGCACTGTACAAAGGAATGAATGTTGCAGTGGGTTGTTGCTGATTGTAGAGGGAGTAGCTTCCCAAGGTACAGAGAGAGTCTCAACTATTGTATTGTTCTGAATCTAAGTCTACTCCCTTGCCCCTCCCCCCCCCACACACTCCAAAAAACCCCCCAAACAAACCATAAGCTTTAACTTGTATCCGTGGTATTCAATGGATTCCCTACAAGCTAAATTTTTTACTAGCAATATTTTTATGCATACAGTAAAAATACCAGAATGGATTTTTTTTCCAGTGCAATATGGTATGTTATACTTATGAGCATAAACGGGCAAACCTACATGCCAGCTGTAAAGGTAAATTCAGCCTTTACCATTCTCGAATAAAATAGGGTTGAAAGACAATGTATGTGTATGACTTAACTGAATTCTCCTCCTTTGTTATGGCTGGTTTTGATTTTAAATTGTGAGCACTGCATGACAAATACCAGCCTGTTTGACCTATAAAGCACTGTAAGTGCAGTAGCTATGGTACTTACTGTATAAAGTTAGTTAAATACAGGATGATAGTTTAAAAAAAAAAAAAGAATTCTACTTGATTTAGAATCTCTTGAGGTTTCTGTATTTTGCTTCTCCAAATCTAGCGCAGATTTTCTTTACTGAAATCTGTGCTACTGTTACAGCCTCTTGATTTGTTTTTGTTTATTGGACCTTTTTGTAAAATAGCTCATGGCTTCTAACCAATATCAATTAATAGACCA